TCTTTGAGCAAATTGCAGAAGAGTGGGACTAGATGACCTTTAAAGGTCCCTTCAAACTTTAAGGATTCTATGATTCTATTATCAAATTTCGTATCAAAACTGAAAGCATGGCTGCATATTCTTCCCTGTTCAGAGATCTGTCAGTCAAAATGCATACAGTTAAGTGCCATCATTTGAGTCAGCACTGCACAGCACTGCCCTCCCTGTGCCCTGCTTTCAGTTCACAGCGACGGTTTGATTGCTGCTGAGCCACGGGCACATGACAGGGAAGTTTTATAGCACCAGGAGGAGGTAGGCTGCAGGTTGGACTGATCTGTATTAAAGGTTAACTTTAGACTAAGATAACTAAATAACACGAATAATGAAACAAATGCATTTTTACAAGCTTAATAAATCCTAAATTGAAATAGGCTTAAATCCTGATCATTCACATATTTAAATCTACACAAATTACATCTGTGTAAGACCTAGGAATCATTGCATAATAAAAACCTATTCCATGAATGAGGTTTCACGAATCAAAATATCCTTTTAAAAAAGTCAAAGATGATCTTCAGAGGTGAATGGAAATAAATATTGGTAGGACCATCTATTTTGTAGAATATTATTCATTATGATTCATTCTTAAAATTACTATATCCTTCTCCGAGTAGTTCCCAATTGCAATAACTGATCTGTATCTGAGATGAACAGAGTAATTCCAATGCACTGCATTTCTTCAGGACATAGGAGCATTAATAAAGGCAAGGACTTTTGATACAGTTTGCAATCACTTTAGCCAGTGAAATTTCCTCTATCTTGGTGGGCACAAGTGGACCCTTTCTACAACTAAGACAACATATTATTAAACTGTTTAGCAGCATTTGAAATAGTACTTCAAGTCCAGCTAAGTTTGACAGATGCTGTAAGCAGCTCAGAGAAAATGGTAGCAGCTGTATTAATTTATTAAGTGCTGCTTCACAAAGGCAAATATAAGTTTTATATTCTTTTTTTTTTTGTACTATAAACTTGACATAATGAAAATTTTTTGCTAAATTTGTACTCATGTTCACACCTATAAATTAATTCAGATGAGTAACGTTATGACTAAATGTTTTTCCAACAAATTACTTCAGCATGAGCAAAATGTTTTTATAAAAGTGCCAGAAGTCTGATCACAACTAAACTTTCCACCTCAAGCTAAAAACTGCAGTATCTGAAGCCAGAACAGTGTAAAACAGCTAAGGCAGAAATAAAAGATGTCATGAGCATCTAGGACTTCAGCTCACAAATATCACGTATATATAGTACATCTTTAAAGATAACTATCAAGAATAAACATCTGTAAATGTTAATGAATATGGTGACTGATACCTTATGAAACCAGCTTTTCCTTTGTTTAGTATGGCATTATTCACTTAACTGAAGTTTTCAGACTTGGAGATAAAGTAATGTGATTTCTAATTGATGAAGGGGATAGCTTCAAATTTTTCTTAAGCCAAAGATTATGTAAAAAAAAATGTAGCTACACAGTAAAATGACAACAAAACACTTGCAACCACTGCGGCCCTCCAGGAAGACATCTACCTGTGTACTGGTTTTAGTTAACTAGCAGTTATGGAAACAATTTGTTGTACAGGCCCTGTGGATTTTACTTGTCAAGGCTGAGGCCTTCATGCCTTCTTTGGGATTAGAGGGAATTGCAGATCCATTATTCATGAGGGCATCTGGAGCCAGTGCCACCAAAGAGTACTGCATGTTGCTCGAGTTCCTCTTGACTTTCAGTGAAGATGCAAATTTACTATTTCCATTCAGATTAAAAAGCTGGGAAATGGAGACTTGAACCTGTAGACAGAGGTTATACACTGGGTGCCCAGTAGTTTCTCTGTTATCACAGAACACTCTGTAACAGTGTGTAGGTATTACTAACCCTGATCAATATTTTAAATCATAGAAGTTAATGTATGACATTCTTTTAGCTAAAAAATGACTGAGATGACAGAACAGGCTTTTTCACTGAAGTCAGGCCAGTCATCCTAGTTGGAAAACACATAAACTGAAGGAGGAACAAAAACAGTAGTAACTTAAATGCATGTTCACACTATATTAGATTATCTAACATCTCCAATACCTTTATGATTACCCAGAGTTTCTAAACAAACTGTATTATTTAAATAATTTGTGTTCTCCACATCTCATTTTTATGTAAAGTCATGGTTTTGAATAAACATTCTTTTCCCCATACTGAAACTGGAAATGCTTTGCAAAATTTATATCTCAAAGTAAAGGAGTAACACTTGTATACACAATAGGTGCACAAATAATGTATCCTGAGGTAAGTTCATAAGGCCAATCCATAAATCTGTTCATCTAAACTTAATGTACTCATAGGTGAATCACTAGAGCAGCAGTGTTAGGAATATCTGTTTAATCTTAACTAAAGCCATTCAGATGAAGTTCTTAATTATAAATTTATGGATTATATCTTTTTTTTTTTTTTTTTAAATATGTATTTCTGGAAAAGCTTGCTAGGATGGAAGACGACAATATAGAAAAAATGCCAGCAGACAAATCTTAATTAAACAGTAGCAATGGTCAAAAACACAGTGAAAATTAACATTTATTACAAATATAAACTTAGTATTTTCTCTTGGTAGCAATTTTTAATAATTTGTGATGATGCATGGAAAATAATATTTTATTTCTTTTGCAATTGTATTGTCCTAGAGTCACTTACAGGAAAATTGGATCTTCATTATCTGAATCTATTTATTTTTTCTTTCACTCTTCAATATAAAAATAACATTATTTTCTCAGTTGTTACTGAGCTAACAAGACAAATTTGGACTTATGTCCCGTTGTGTTTTAACTTAGCAGGTGGTTAAGCACCACACAGTCGTTTGCTCACTCCTCCCTCTCGCCAGATGGGAGAAAGAATTAAAAAAAGATAAAAAAATCAACAAACTGATGGGTTGCAATAAAACTACTACTAAAATAGAGAAATGGGAAAGGACAATAATTATGATATACACATATTTATACTCACGTATAATATATAAATCCATATAACAAGTGATGCACAAACAATTGTTCGCTGCAGGATGAGTGATGACCAATCAGCTTCCCAAGGAGCAGAGGGAGTGAGACAAACTCCCATCTCCTTCAAAATTCCTTCCACGTGATGTCATATGGTATGGAATATCCCTTTGGCATCTTAAGTCATCTGTCCTAATTCTGTTCTCTCTCAGCTCCTCAGGCTCTTTACTGAGAACAGCCTTCACTCTATACAACACTGCTTATAGCAGCAACTGTAAACATCTCTGTGTGATCAACATCGTTTTTCTCCTAGAACCAAAATATAACAGTGTCGTAACAGACACTCGGAAGAAATCAGTTCCTGTCCCAGCTGAAACTAAGACACATCATCATAGGGAAACAAGGAAAAAGAGCAAAGGAAATGCTTAAGAACTAAATAATTCAAAACCAGGAAAGAATACAAAACATTATTCTAAGTTTTGCTGTTGTTATTTTTGTTGTTTGGCTTGTTTGGGCTTTTTTATTCACACTTACTTCCTGGTAGGTGGTTTTTTTTCTCCTTTTCTTTCATAAGAAATCAGCTTTGATTGTGTAGACTGTTATTTCTTTTCAGGTATACATATGTTGGAGAAGCCAGCCAATATGAAATTGAGAAGATGTCCTGAAAGAAGACTTTAAGAAAACTTGAAAGGCTGCAGAAATTCTTTTAATTTTAGTGTATTTTCTAGTCTATTCATATTATCCTTCATTACCACTGCATTAGAAATTTTCAAAGTATCACTAATAAAACAGTGAAAAGGGGGTGAAGAATCAGATGAACATGATGAGTTCAGCAGGGAATATCTGCATATGAGGCACTTCAGACTACTTCTAATCACCTTTGAGAAATCTGAGACTGTATTTAGCTTAGCTTAGTCAATGTAGTCAATAAGCAATCAACAACAAGACACCATTTGATCTGTTTAAAAGTAGCCATGGAAAAAAAAAAAAAAAAACTGCCTCATAAATAAGTATTCTTGAAGAAGCTGGGATTCTTTAGAACTGTTTATTATAGCAAATGCTTTCTTAAAACATTCTTCTGAAGTAGACAGTAGAGCAAGAGCATAGGTGTGTGTAAACACAGAAGGTGTTTCTCTGAACCTAGATAATGATGTATCATTATGACAGCAATGGAGCGTGAATCACAGATAATCCAAAAGTAAAAAGGCAGTAATGTTTTAAATTGTAAAAGCAGGTACTATATGTAAGATATATTTCTGAACTTATTCCGTGGTATTCAGTGTAATTTTGTACAGCTTATGTAACTAGCATTAAGTATACATATTCTGTGTCTCTTGAAGCATGTATGGGATTCTTACTACTAACCATCAATTTTATAGCCCAAAGTACATTCAACCTCTTGAAGCACTCAATCCAAAATCCTCACTAAGATGCCCAGCTCTCACTGATCTTTGGGCACTTAGCATTCAAATTACCTTCCTAAGAACTTCAAGATACCTTGTTTTGTCCTTTTACCAAGTGCTGTTAGAAATGAAGTGAATGATCTAAAACAGAAATTTTGCAAAAAGCTTTCAATTGAAAAGTTTATCCTGTAATTATTTTTAGCCATTAAAAATTATCCACTAATAATAGTGCATTCTGAACAACGACTACGTGAATGTGGATGAAGTCATGGTGGAGCCATTGCAGATGCTCTATTAATAATAACAAGGCAAACTACATTATTGGTACGTCGCAATTCAAAACACTTGGCCAGCAATACAAGTTTACTGCTACCCAAACAAAAACAAAAACCTTCACCATATCAGAGCTGTATTCAACTGTTTCTGAGAAACAGAAATAAATAAATAAATAAAGTAAAATTGAAGCTATCTAGTCACTTACAGGTTGATTTACATATATGAAATTGTGATCCTTGGTTTCCAATTCGTACTCCAGCATGTCAGAACCCATTCAGGTTTTAGCTAAGGAGAAATAATTTCCGAAGAAGTGATATGAAAAAACACTGACCTGCACACAGCCTTTCCCCTATCTCTGCAGTACCAAACAGTCAGAAGTTGAGAATGCAACTTCCTGACTGAATCACTGGCAAGAAACTCATTCTCTCTAAAAGAGATTTAAAATGCTGTTCCTGCACAGCAATCCAGTGAACCTCCATCACAGGGGCAGCTGAAGAGTCCCCACAAGAGCTGCCCCTGTCCTGCACAGACTTACTACTACGGGTGGGAGGCACACTTATACCTGACCTACCTCATCCCACGTTGCGGACCTCTGCTCTTTCGCTTAGTTCCCCTTTCACATATGCCTCCAGTTGACACCTTGCCTGTGTCCTTATCGCCTCTATCAGTGATCCTCTCCTGCTTTAGGGAGGCAAAGAGCAAAAGAATTCGTACAAAGGTACTGAGCAGTTACATACTTTTTTATTCGCGAGACGAAAAAAATTCGCTAGGGAGCATCGCTCTCACCCGACACTCCTCGCCCAGGGATCCGCTGCACCCGCGGATTCCTAACGCTGCTGCGCAAAGCACGATAACGCAGCAAAGGAAGTAAGCTCAACTCAATCTCCGACTGTTTCTCCCTCTTTTACCCATCCTGCTTCTCTTCCAGAAGGAGACGAATCACTTTGGGTGTTCTGCTAAGTTTGCCCTTCCCCTTTGTAGGCGGGAAATATCGCACGCAGCTCCTCTCCCGAAAATGGCGGCGGCGGCGGCGGGCTGGGCAGTGTCCGGCTCGGGCCGCTGGCCCGCACTGGCCCGGTGCTGCTGGCGGGCGGAGATGGTTGCTTACTTCTCTGCACCAGCTGCGAGCAACAGGGAAGCCAAACAGAGGGAAGGTGAGGGTGGCCCGGCGCGCTCCGTGACGCTGCCGCCGGGCATGAGGCTGAATCCGGGCCGTGCCTGGTTACGGGCGGTTGGGCCTTGAGAGCGGGTGGGGAGCTCGGCCCGCTGCCTTCGGGTCAGGATTCTGCTTGTCCCAGCAGACCACTGCCTGAATTTAAGTATTCTAAATTAGAATCTAACAGTTGCCAAGGGATATGAACTTGCATTGTGTGTTTGGTTTTGTGTCTGCCCCCAAGCTGAGCAGTTTTGCCTTCTCAGAGTCCAGATGAGTCCAAAGCGTTCAGAGCAGTCAGGGCTGTTACCAGCGTTTTTTCTGAGGGTAGTGTGGACGTTTGTCATTTGCAGATTGCCAGGTTTGTAAAAGGGCCCTTGAGCGATGTCAGGTGGTGGGGCTCATTGGGGCACTCCTAATCATAGACTGTGGATGTTTGTGACTGGAGGCATAAGGCTAGTATGAACTGTGTGTGTCTGTGTATGAATGCTCCACAGAGGTAATAGTAGTTGTTGCAGAGCTCTATATGTATTCTTTATTTTAAATTTCTTTATAGTAGGAGGAGGTAGAATGGAATTACTTTATGATATAAGTATATGTTGGTTTTGCAAGAGAAGAAAAATGTGCAGTGTGTGCTGTATTTTTTCAACAGAACCACATGATAGTTTATATTGAGAAAAATATTTCTTATTTTTTTCCTTCAGACTCATCAAGGAGAAGAGGCAGGACATCACAGTTAATAAGATCGGTAAGAATTGAGTATGTTTGCAGCTGATTCGGAGGTGGCTGAGAACATTTTCCATGCTCAAATAGTCTTAATAGACTGAGAGGGTCCTGATCCAGGTCAATAAATATCTAAGGTGTGGGGGGCAGAGTGGTGAGGCCAGACTCTTTTCAGCAATGTGTGGAGACAGGACAAGGGGAAACAGCCAGAAACTGCAGCATAGGAAGTTCTGCACAAGAACTTCTTTACGGTGAGGGTGATGGAGCACTGGAACAGGCTGTCCAGGGAGGTTGTGGAGTCTCCTTCTCTGGAGATATTCAAGACCCTTCTGGACACCTACTTGTGCGAGCTGGTGTAGGGAACCTGCTTTGGCAGGGGGGTTGGACTCAATGATCTCTGGAGCTCCCTTCCAACCCCTACAATTCTGTGATTCTGTAATAGTCTTAATAGTTTCTATAGGAATCACTTAAAACAACGTGAACTGATTTATAGTTTCTATAGGAATCATTTAAAACAAAATAAACTGATTTAATGTGAATCAATTCCTGAATGTACACTTACCTTCTTTAATCTCCTAACTCTTTTCAATCTGTAATCTCAAAAAAAGAAAAAAAAAGGCTTGTGCAGAGACCATGTACTGCAGGTCTTAAAAGTAACTTAAGGTTGCATTTAAAAGAAGAACAGGTACCTTAATGTTACATACAGATTGGCAGGATTTGTAGTGTTTGCTTTCTGGCATAATTAAAAAACATTTGTTTACATGTATAAGTGAAATTGTTCTTGCACAGTAGAATTGGTCTGATATCCAAGGAAGTAATCACTAGGAGTTTTGTCACACAAATTTTAAAAGCAATATAATACTATGTGACGTGGTTTTAAAAGCAAGTACTTAAAAATGGACCAGGTGTAAATTTTTGTTCCAAAGTACAGATTTAATGATAGAAGGAAATGACATCATATATATGTTTATCTTTTATCCTTCTAAATGATTAAAAAAAAATCAACAAACTAAGACTTTGGAAAAAGAAATAGTGGTTTTACTTTTTTGCATGTATATCCATTTCTTTTAATGGAAACTATTCACGCTTTCGGAATTCAAAAAACTTAAAACTCATGTTCTTGCCTCCTGCAGTGAACACTTGAGCAGTTCAGGCAATTGAGTTTGATTTTTGAATTTTTCCCTTCCCCACTTCTTCCCCAACTTGCCAAGGCTTCTTTTGAAATATTTCTGAAATAATGGATTTTTATTATTTAGGCTGGGAAGGGCATGCATCCTAACCTTTGATAGCTTCTCTTTTAAAAATTCCTTGGGAAGTGAGCACTAATTTTTTTTTATATTAAGGTGTGTCATGAAATTTTTAGTTTGGAGAATTTATCCCTGAATAACTTTTCACGTATGTTCCTGCTTGATACCAGAAATCAGTATGTGCCCCATCAACCTTGTACAATCTTCAATTTGTTAGCATATACCTCCCAGAACTGAGAGGATGGCTGTTGACCAGGACTGGAGCAGTGTTTATCCAACAGCAGCTGCATTTAATCCTTCATCTGTGCCTCTCCCAATTCGAATGGGCTACCCAGTGAAGGGAGGAGTACCTCCAGCAAAAGAAGGCAACTTAGAGCTTATAAAGGTAAGTCACATTCTACTGGTGTGCGATAACACTGAAAATTATTATTCATTAGGATTGAGCTATTTTAATTGAAATAGTTTTATTGGATACTGTTTTCTATAAATAGAAAAATATTCTATATAACTTCTAAATTAAAAAGTAGCGAAGACAAAGCTTAAAAAGAAATACAAGTGAATCAAATTAGCAGGCTTTGATTGGGTTATCATGCCTGTGACTTATTACTGAACTTAAAATATTTTCCTGAATGAAGCTTGAGGAGTTTTCTTACCTTTATCTTCTGTTGAATGTATTGAATTACATTAACAAATTCTGAAAATGTAACCAAATTTCAGTAATGCCCTTTTATTTATTAAGAGACAAAATGATATTATTTTGGTAACTCTTTGTATGTCTATTCTAGATTCCCAATTTTTTACATCTTACTCCTCCTGCAATTAAGAAACACTGTGCAGCTCTCAGAGGTAGGATTTTTATTTGTTTACTTTGTTGTTACTTTCTTAGGCTTTTTTTTGTTGGGGGGCATGTGTGTGTGTTTTTGTTAAGGTGGACATCTCTGAAGCTGTTTTTTTGTCAGGCTTTGGCTAGTATAGTATTCTTTGGTTTTGATTTATTATATTATACAGGATAAGCAGATAGGTCTTGTGAGCTTTCCAAGTACACCTGTGAGACTTGAATTTTACCCTTCTATTAGACCCTGCTTGTACTGAAGAATTCATAGTTCAGACTCGTAAGGTAAATGGATGATGGATATGACCCAGTTCTCAGAAGATTAAAGCCTGGTTTAATAACAGCTAATCAATGGTCATTCTGGTATATATTTAAGGAAAAAAAAAAAAAAAAAAGCCACATATCTCAGATTGTGTGAGATTCAGTGAAGAGCAAGAGTATCTACCAGCCAGAGAGTGAATTAGGAGTTCCTAATGGGGTTAGCCCAGAGAGAAGTGGAGGGAGGAGGTGGTAAGAGACCTGGCTTGAACTACCTGTTTACAAACACATGCAGCATTTACAGGAGGAATTACAAGTCTGAAGAGTCATGAAAATGCAAGGAGAAATCTTGTTCCTGTCTGATTCACAATCATGCAGGGTGGAGGAGCTGCTGATCTGTCCAGCTTGGATATGGAGGTTTACTGTGAGATGGGTTACAAGCCAATTGAGAGTCTGGTGGGCAGCCTGCCTGAAGAAGCAAAAGTAGATGAACTGTTCTTGAAATAGATGAAAAACCCTCACAGTTACCATCTTCAGTACTGATGGGAAGCTATAGCCATCTAAATGTTCTCTGGAAAAGTAGCAGAATGGGATAGAAACAATCTTGGAGACTTGTAGACTGCTATCAATGTTATTGTGTTCGGATCCTGGGCAAACTGTCCATGAGAAAATTCTGTTTTATGTGTGTTAGTCACAAGTATGGAAGAACTGGCTGTGGATTTGAAAGCTGATGGCAGCTCTTAATTGTGAAAAAAGGTGTTGGAGTTCAAGATCTTGAGAGAAGTAAGAAGGACATTTAGCATATTAACAGCAATTTGTTGATGCACAAGATCTACCAGTTGACTACAACAGATGCTCTGCTGGATTTGTCGTTCACAAACTAGGAAGAGCTGATTGCACTTGAGAAGGTTAGGGGCAGCCTTGATAACAATGATCATGAAACTGGAGTTTAAAATACTCAGAGAACTGCAGCCGGAACTTCAGGAGTTTGATATTGGTTGATTCAGAAGTTTGCTTGGCAGATCTTATTGGAGATAGCGGGGGTGGGAGAAAGGGAGCTTTTAGAACTGCCTCCTAAAAGCACAAGAATAGTCCATTCCAGTCGGCAAAAATTTGAGCAAGTATGGTAGAAGCATGGGTGAGCAGGGAACTCCTGAGTAACACAAGATACAAATACAAAGATTACCTAGCATTACCCAGGATGAGTAGGATATTTTTGCGTGAAAATTTCATGAAGGATGAGGGTGAGAGAGAAAATGTCAGAAACAACAGAAAATGGTGATGAAGCAAACCTATAAGCCATTTCCAAGTATGTGGGAAGTGTGCATTTTAACAAGTTGGGTGATAACAGAGAGCACCGCTTCATGTTTTCAGATAGTAACAAATAGGGGTGGAAGTAAAACATTCATTGGAATGTCAACAGGCAGGAAAAAAATCTGCTGCTAGGACTTCCACGAAGTTAACTAAATGTAAGTAGTTGTGTGTCTGGGATGGAATAGCTCATGCCAGTTGTACGTGAGGCCTGCAGGGGACGAAGGTCTAGAAAGCATCTTTGTGGACAAGACCGTGGAGAGTCAGCAGGCTTTTGAAGGTCGAATGTGGAACAGCAGTGTACCCTTGCAACGATGAAGTCTGACTGTATTCTGGATTGTACTAGCAGAAGTGTAGCCAATTATTTGTATTTAGGAAATTATTTTTTTTCCCCATCTTTGTAATTTCTGAGACTACATCTGGAATACTGTGTCCAGTTTTGAGGAACCCAGTACAAAAAAGACATTGAAATACTAGAGTGAGTCTAGCAGAGATGCTCCCATTGCCTGTGATAAAGTATAGTTTCTCTAGAACTACTTCTAAAAACATAAATGACAGTAAATTTGAGAAAAGAAATTACTTGGGTTGTTTTCTTTTATTATACAGATTTCTGCACTGAATGGCCAAGTGCTTTGGACAGTGATGAGAAATGTGAGCAGCATTTTCCTATTGAAATTGAGACAGTGGATTATGTTTCTGCAGGTACATCTATTCGTAATCCCAAAGCAAGAATAGTGACTTTAAGAGTAAGTAGTACTCTTGGAAAGCAATCACCTTTGTTTTTAACGCCCAAATACTTGACTTTCTTTTAAAACATTTTAGAAGTATGGGAATGTGAGAAATGGTTCATTGAATGACCAAAAAAAGCAGCAGAGAATTTCCTTATATATTGCAGGATGTTAGAACTCAGCTTATAATGATATGGATACATATTTATAAGTAAATTCTGAGCTCTGATACAGACAAAGTAGCATACATTCTTAAAAATCAACTTTTCCATATGTGGACATGGTAGGTGCTATGTTATCACTTGAACAGTATGAGGCTACATGCTGTCCTTTATCAAAAAGGGTTTTTTTGCTGGAGATCTCTTTTCTTTGGTTGAGAAATCTTAAATAATATCTGAGATCAGACGACCCCATTTTTTTTGCTTTGGCATATCATTGTCTGTGGCTTGTACACTGCATGTAATCAGAAAACTGTTAGATCCAATGTTTCAAATAGCTGATTGGTGCTGTAGTTGTGGGGGTCTCAACTAACTATTGTTCAAATAATTAGTCTTTCATAATACTAATGATTCAATGTGCTCTGACTTGGGATGCTTAATATTAGCTTGATAGAATATTATGAAGATAAATAAGAAATGAACAGTTTGTCCACAACCTTTCTAAATATTTAATTTTTTGAGAAGACAAAATGCAGAAGAGACAGTAGCATTGGGAACAAAAGACCAAGAACCAGAGGGGAAAAGGAGAGTCGGCTTTCTAATTTTACTTAGTATATGCCCTGTAGAACTGGAAGATCTATTCATCTGCCTATCTTGTTTATTTTCGTGAGTTCTAATTAATATGTGTACTGAATAAAGGCAAGCAAAGCAAAATCTCATGGAGATGTGTAATAGCTAACATAGGATCATGCGGATATAACTAAACCAAGACTTTTTACTACTCTATTGGTTGTAAATGGTGTGTTTTCTTGTTCCAACCTTCATATTTCTATATGCACACTTATATTAGCAAATAATGTTCTCTTGTACGTGTTGGTATGGATAAAAACAGTATTCAGGGAAGAAAACTTCAGGAAGCAGTGTTAAGGAATTGTGAACTCTGCATACTGCGTTGTTTTTTTAAAGGCAGGTTTAGTAATAACCTAGTTAAAGTATTTCTTTTTTTGAAATCAGCTAGAATTTATTTGTAGAAATTCATTAAGTATTTGCATTTTTTTCCTGAGCCCGGGCTTCTTATAAGAATGGTTCAAGGAGGAAATACCTGAACAGGTTCTTTTGCATTGCTTTTTCTTTTCTTTTTTTTTTTTTTAAGCACTAATGAATTATTTCAAATATAGTCTAAATTAAATTTTCTCTCTTCTGTGCTGAATTGTGACGTAAATAGAGCATCTTTAGATTTTTCTGTTTTCAAGCATGCATTGAGAATATGTATCTGGCACCCTAAGCCCATTCTGTTTTTTGATTTGGCATGTTTCAACTTTTTTTTTTTTCATAAAGATGCTAAAACGTGTAGAAATCAATATAATATGATGCACTCTGGGAAATAATAGAATGTATTTGATACGCAACCTCGCTTTGAGCAATCAGTTGAGGTGTTTTCCTGTCCTTGTGGTATAAAAGTTAGGCCTGTGGCTTTTGAATATGCCTTCTGAGACTAGATTTGAGCCTATTCTAAAAGCAGCATCAGTGGAGTCAGTGATGGCTGTATTCTTTTGGTGCAGAAGCAAAAATGCTGCATTAGAGCAGCTTTGTGGCATCTAACTAGGGCAACCAAACAGCAGTAGTTTGTTTTATCTGTAGGAGGCTACATCTTCCCTTTAGATTGTAAAACATTATTGCTTGGAATGTAATTCGGTTTGTCATTGACTTAAATATACATTTCAGCCATCTATTAGCAGTAGTTTCCCTTTTTTGTCACTGCATGTTAGAGTTTAACTGTTTGTCTCTTAATTCACATTCCTAGTAAATGCCAGATTTTTGCAATTTGTATGTATCATGAATATAAGTAAGTTCAATGAGAATATAAGCCTCTGGTTTTATGCTGGACTGTGAATGTACAGAAGGAGACACTCATTTGACCTCACCCTGCTCCCCCCCTCATCATTCCTGTGTTCAAAGCATTCCCAGGACAGTGGTGGGCACGGTATCTCAGGTAGGGCAAAGAGCTCAGCTGCTTGGTCAAGCAACCTTCAGTCGTCTCCTCTCAGTAAAAACAGTAGATTGTGAGAGCATGCAAGTTTCTTGCCTTCTAAATCATGTAAAATGTTACTAAATATAAGTCTCTTCTTTTAGATGAGATTCTGAAGACATAGGATGTTGGTCTAGGAGACAGTAGAGAGGATAATTCAAAATGATACACGGAAATAAGTTTTTATTATTCTGTCTAAATCTTCCATTAATGTTAGCTGGCTCTGATTCCTGTGAGGCTTTATATGGTTGTCCATTATGCATGCTTTATAGAAAAGGGGGAGTGGGAGACAAATGTGGAACAACTGTCTGTATGCCTTTTCATTTATAGATACTCTCATCTCAGACTTCATTAATAAATTAATTGTCTGGTACTTTGTGATTAATCCTCTGACGACAGAAACTGCTTAGGGAGGAAGAAGAGAAGGATTTAAAAGTGAAAGTAGATGACATTGGGTCAGATAGGGTTGAGTTTGTATCAGTGAGAGATTTTTCTGTTTGCTCTGTTGCAGACTGTTACAGAAGAAGATATACTTTCTCATGGTTCTTTAAGAAAATAATGAAAACTGTTAAGAATTAAAAGCAAAAATTCTTACAGAGATTTTTTGTTTGTTTTAAGTTGAGATCTTACTGTAGATGCTCATTTTTTATCTGTTGTAGCCTATTGCCTGTATTTCTTGGTACCAAGTTTGTCATAGTCTGGTCCCAAGTGCAATTGTCGGAATTGTGCCAAACAACAGGATTTAAAACAAAACTATTTTTTAAGCAATCATTATTCTTTGTGGAGCACTAGCTTGTCTAAAATTCAACGTAAAATAGCATGCAACATTTCATCTCAGAATTCTAAGCTCTCTAAACCATATCTTGTTTTTGAAGCAAGAAGCCGTGCAAACATTTGTCACTTTAATATGACTTCGTTTTTTTTTTTTTAATGTTCCTGTAGCATAGGTAACAGACCAGATGGTTTTCTTATACAAGATTCTAGGATTTGATCAGTTCCTTTGTACTGCAGTGATGTGTTAGGAAGGATATAGAGATGGCAGGGGGAAAAAAGCAATGGTCCAATTCATGAAAGGCATTTAATGTCTTAAAATTTTTAGTTTTGATCATCAGCTTACATTTCTAACCCCCCATATCTTCAGATATCTAGCTTTGCTATTTGCTGTTGTACAAGCATTTAATAGCTAAAAACACCTTGCTTTACTTATCATACTTGTAACTATATTCAGAAATTAGCTTCAGAGTAACTACTTAATTATGGGTTTTCTGTGTTGTGGTGTTTTTTTTTCTTTTTAGAAAAGTAACAGTTATTTCCTTATATTTGTGTTTGGTTTTTTGTTTTGTTTTTGATAGTGTAAGAGAAGGGAAGCTGTTAACACACTGGTTTGATGTATTATGTGAGATGGTTTTGGTCCCCTGGGTTTGTATGCATTTTGGTATACTTGTATTAATGATCTTCTAATAATGATGGTGAGAATTCTGAGTTGATGACTCTTGATGTCTTTCCTACTCTTCTGGGTGCTTGTAACAAATATTTTTAAAATATCTTAATATTACCCTTACCAGTCTATATCTAGAAAACATGAATTTGCTAGAAATATGTATTTTCCACATTAAGTTCATATGAGTATGAAGTGAAGGTACAGATGGAACTGACAGCTTTTTTTCCCATCTGAAAGAAGTTTAAGTCAAAATATTCTCTCAACCCCTCTGGTATTTAAATGAGAAGAAATCTATTACTTGAATATTGACATTGTATTTACCATGCATTTAAAAGTTCTTGGTAAGTGATAAAACTGGAAGAAACTCTAAAAATGCATGTACAGGTATGAAAGATATGTCTAATCATATCTGAAAAAAATTTTCAGGTTGCAGAGATTGAATTTCTCCAAATAATCATGAGTGTTTTCTCTTCTACTTCAAGGTTAAACTTTCTAATCTGAATTTGGATGACCATGCAAAGAAGAAGCTCATTAAACTTGTAGGAGCGCGGTACTGCAAGGATACAGATGTACTCACAATTATAATAGACAGGTATGATTACAAGATGAAAAAATGTCTTGACACTGGCAGTAGAAAAAGGGGCCAAATCTTTTCCAATTTAATCAGTACCAGTACTTTTGTTCATAAGTGTTAAAAAATGTTATGAACAAATCACATAATATCAGGCATAATCTTTGTTTTATCTCAGTTTTATCAGATATTATATTTGAAAATCTTTATTATAAGTAGTAGCAGTTGTTCACAAACATCTTCTGTAGGTTACAACAATTTTCATAAGAGGTGTGGGCAAGAAAAATGAGGACATCAGTGCTCAGACATTGTTCAGTGTTTTGATGTTCTAGATTTTAAAAAATCATTGTAATTATTCACATTTATTTTCAGAAAACTGCACTGGAGAAGTTTGTTTTCTGTGTTTGAATTCTGAAGCGTTTAAGAGAATCCATATGCATTGCTTTATGTGCTTTATTTCACGTCTGCATTCACAGTTAGGAAAAAAAATATTGGTAGTCTTATCTGTTAGCTTTTTAAAATTATTATGATTTGTTTTCCCATAATTAATTTCCTGACTTTCAGTCAGTTTTATTTTTACTGTTAAAAGGATAGTTATGTATTCCTTTTGTCTTGAAAGTCTGGGTGGCTTACTGGGACCACGTGAGCTACAGTTTCTTATCCATGGCAAAACTTACTGTGTGGCTATTAGGATAGCTGAAAGGTATTTCACCTCTGTGGTATTTGTGAATGGTGTCATGAATCATTCCTGGAGGATTTTTTAATGTGCTTATTAATATTTCACTTTATTTCTAGTAAACTCTGAGGCTTAATCTCTGTGCGGTATCCATTTTGTTCTAGGCTAGTATTTGAAATACTTTTAAACTGAAGTTTTTTCTTTGTGAAGGAAGTATGAGGAAGCTTGAGCCCTTTTAAGAGGTTATTTGCTAGAATAGTCAGTCCCTAGCCATTCAGATGAATGTTTTCAAGGTATCTCAGATGTAGTATTGTATAATTCAATCCGTTCTGTATTCATCAGTAAGACAAATCAGGGATCAAAAACAAAAATGTATGCTAACTGCTTCCAGGCTTATTTCTGACAACTTTTATAACAGACAACCAGTACTTGAATTTTCAGAACTACCATTGTGGGAAATTCCTGTTTTAATTAACTTGTTAACTTCAAAAATAGCAGGCAATCCCATCTGGAGGTGTAAGCTTTTTAAATGGAAAGGTAATACCATGAGTAGTATCTGTCAGTAAAAGCTGAAAGTAGAAATATAAAGTATTTTTTTAAATATTTATTCTCTGGAAATGTGAAACAATCATAATTCATTCAAAGTTTCATACATAGTGACAGTCGTAACTCTTACTACTTAAGGTTCCCACTGATCCTTAGAATAACTAAAAAATTCATGATTTGTGGGTTTTGTGTAACTTATATCGTTCAAGAGTACAGTTCCATAGTCACTGTAATCTGCTGTAATTCAGTACTGCTGCTGAAAGAGTTTGTCCCTCAGAAGGAAAGGTGAAGAAAAGAACCAGCTTTGTCTGGTATCAGTCCTTGATCTGGTTCACTGCAGAGCTGCTGGAACTGAGATACTATATTGTGTGTAGGACAAATAGTTTCCTAAGTTTCAGTGTATCTGCTATATGTTATTCTAGAAAAAAGAGAATTGAACTCTTGTTTATCAAAAAAGTGGGAGACAAAACAGCCTCTTGGAAAAGGTGTGAGGAAGAGGAGGTTACTGGTGATCAGCATGAGAAACTGATTAATGTCACCAAAATCTCAGTGGGCATTTTGTATTACTACTTTTAAGAAGTGCTTTTACAGTGATGTGCCTTATCCGGACAAATGTAGCTGGTGATTCTATTTTGATACAAAGCTACATTGACTTAGAGAATTTTTCTGTCTAGATTATTGATTAGGTCTTGTGTTCTGAACTACACTGAATTGATTTTCTCACCTTTTTCTTCCTTTTAGATCTAGGTAAAAAAAAATAAAAATCAGGTCTTAAGGCAGTCTAGACTAATGCATTTTGGATTCAATTTTGGCTATTTCTGGCAGAGGAATGCAGCATATGTTAGTCTGTTTTTTAACAGGTTCTGAAGATCTGTAAATTGTTTTTGTACATTTTCCTTTAGACTATAAGATGTTCTTTCATGTTTTTATGATCATGTTATTCTTGATAATGTGTAATTCAGAAGTGTTAGAATCAGACACAGACACATTTCCCTAGAATTGCCTATTTACAGATTAGAAATTTTGGTAAGTTTATTATTTTCTTCAGGTATATTTACATATTTACTGTAGTTCAATTTCAGAAAGACTAGCTTTGTTTATGAATTTTTCAGATGTCCACTAAGACGACAGAACTATGATTATGGAATACATCTCCTCACAGTTCTGTACCATGAATCTTGGGTAAGCAGTTGGGGAAGAAAATCTCGCATGCTCTCTCTTTATCCCTTCTGTCCTATCTGCATAAACAAAACTTACCTGAAACTTTAAAATAAGTTTCTGACTGCACTGCTTAAGGAATATTACCTTAGATGCTTTTCCCCATCATGTTTCTTCAAAATCAACGAAGATGATTATGCTTGGATCATACTTCCACAGTTAACTAAGACTTCATTTCATTACCTTTATAAGGCCTGTGCTGTTTTTATTTTGTGTGTGTATTTTATATCTATACCTGAAATGTTGTATTAGAGGGTTTAAAAATTCTCTGAAATTTCCTTTTAAGACAGATTTTGTTTGAATTTATCTGACTCGGCTAATTAACTGTTTCCAATTAGTCTAAGTTTCACACATAACTGAGTGTCACGTGTGTCATAATGACATTTGTTTGCTTGAAAAGTCTCCCTACATGAATAAGTTTGTTTTATCATAGAATCATAGAATGTTCTGGGTTCAAAAGGACCTCAAAGATCATCTAGTTTCAACCCCCGTGCTGTGGGTGGGGTCACCAACCACCAGACAAGGCTATCCAGAGCCACATCCGGCCTGGCCTTGAATGCCTCCAGGGATGGGGCATCCACAACCTCTCTGGGCAACCTGTTCAAGTGTGTCAGCACCCTCTGGGTGAAAAAACTCTCTGCTAATATCTAACCTAAACTTCCCCTGTCTCAGTTGAAAACCATTCCCTTTTGTCCTGTCATTATCCACCCATGTAAACAGTCATTCCCCCTCCTGTTTATACGTTCCCCTTCAAGTACTGGAAGGCCGCAATGAGGTCTCCCCGGAGCCTTCTCTTCTCCAAGCTAAACAAGCCCAGTTCCCTCAACCTTTCTTCACAGGAGAGGTGCTCCAGACCTCTGATCATCTTAGTGGTCCTTCTCTGGACTCATTCCAAGAGCTCTGCATCTTTCTTGTGCTGGGGCCCCAGCACTCCAGATGTGGCCATGCAAGAACTGAGTAGATGGGGAACAATTGCCTCCCTATCCCTGCTGGCCACCCCTGCTGAAAAATATCATCTTAAATAAACAAAACATCTTTAAACATGTATTTGAAGTTATACAAAATTATAAAAAGTTATAAAAACTAAAATATAGCCCAGTTCCAAGCTCTTCCTACTTACTAATTAGGATCTGTCGTTTCCTGATCTCTTCATGATCTCTTTTAAATCACAACTGTAACTTGGAAATATTCAGCTTTTAAAGTACTCTCACAAATTTTTCCTCAAGCTGAAAGGAGTGAGGACTGAAAGTCCTATTCTGAGCTCAGAAAAGGGACATCATACCCAACTTCTGTTGACTTTAGAGATAGTTGGCACTATCAAATAGTGTAATTGTGCTCTTTGTATCTGTTGTAGTTTCTATGGAAACTAACGAGACATTATTTTTGGAGCAATCTATGGATGATCTGCCAAGCTGGGAGGAAGCATTAATATGCTTGAGGAAGGACAACTGGATAGGCTGGATTCATGGGCTGAAGCACAAGGTCAAGTGCGGGGTCCTCCACTTGCGTTGTAACAACCTCACGCATCACTATAAGCTTTGGGCAGAATGACTGAAAAGCTGTGTGTAGAATGGGATCTGGTGGCGTTAGGCAATGGTGGCTGAACAGCAGTGTGCCTAGGTGGCCACGAAGGCCAGTGGCATCCTGACTTGTATGAGAAATAGTATAGCCAGGAAGAAGATGATCTCTCTGTATTTGGCACTGATAAGGCTGCGCCTCAAGCAGTGTGTTCAGTTTTGGGCCCCTCACTACAAGAGAGGCATTGAGGCCCTGGAGCATGCCCCAAGAAGGATAACAAAGCTGGTAAAGGATCTTGAACAGGAGTCTTGTGAGGAGCTGCTGAGGGAACTGGCATTGTTTTGTCTGGAGGAGGCTCAAGAGAGACCATGTCACTCTTCACAACTACCTAAAAGGAAGTTGTAGTGAGGTGGGGGTTGACCTCTTCTCCTAGGTAACTAGTGACAGCCTTGGGCTGTGCTGGGGTGGAGGGAGTAGGATTCAGGCTGGTTATTAGGAAAATCTTCTCAGAAACAGTAGTTGAGCACTGGAACAGGCTGCCCAGAGAGGAGGTGGAGTCAGTGTCTGTGTAGGTTTTCAAGAAATGTGAAGATGGGACACTTAGGGACATGGTTTAGTGGGCGTGGGTGATGATGAGTTAATGGTTGGACCAGATGATCTTAGAGATCTTCTCCAACCTTTACGATTCTATGATTATTTTTAGGAGAACTAGAATACTACTGGATAGCCTTTGGGGTAATATAAGCCCGGGGGATTTGTAGTTAAAAGTAATATTGCGCTTGAAACTAGCATATCTTACCATTTTTAGACAAATATAAGCAATTAACTTTAGCAAAATCTTGCTAAAGCTGAAGGCTTTTTTTTTTTTTTTTAAGAACTGTTAAGAGTTTTCTTAAAAATATAAAGAAATGTTACCTGATTTTTACACTAATTAAAACCCTTTATTTGGAAGCAATAATTGTGATGTTTATCTTTGTTCCTGTAATGAATAGTGTAGCCCTTCCTTTTGGCAGCAGGTGTCTTGGTATTTTTTGATAGTCCTTGTTACTTTCTAGTGGATAAATTTGCATGTTTATTTGTTTTAGTAGGGGAAATGAAGGAAGAGAGGAAGAAAGTGAATTTATTGTTTGGTTCTTAATCTGCCTTCTATTATTGCTGTTTCAAATAAGGTGTACATAACACAGAACAGCTATGGGAAGGTGTTCAAAACATGAGTCAAGTTATGTTCAAAATACTCAGATTTGAGAACTTAAGAATGTTAATTATTTAAAAAATACTTATTTTAACATGCAGGAAGGTCTCCTTCATTTTTAATAGTTATCAGTGTTGTATGCAGTAGATATCTGACGTGCACCATCTGTAGCAAGAATCATCTTTCTTTCATTGGACTTTCTGTGATTACTTTCAAATTATTTCCCAGGATTGTGCCTGGAGTGAATTCACCAAATGAGAGAGTAAGATACATTAAGTACATTATTAAACAGCAGATAAAATAGTTGTATTTCTGCTGCTTTATGTAATAGTACTTCTTGAATGCTGTAACTTCAGCTTTTAAGGTATTAAGTGGTTTTTAAAAAGTAATGGTTTCCTGCCCCCAAGTGGTTAAAAAGAGCACGTAATTGAGATTGATAGTTTGTCACTATAAAGTGACATCCTGTATGAATTTATAGTGGAAGGGAGAACAAAGTGGAGCACACAGTTCAGCTTTGAATAAGAAAAAATATTACTAGTAACTATAAAGGTGGTGGATATGGAAAAGATAGTGAGAAGGAAAGAATTCACAGTTGTTACAAACTTGTCAAGATTACAAAAAGTTGCAACAGTATTTCATGGTCCAGATGGACATGATTTTCAACATGCACAAAGCAAGATGATACAGAATGGAGGATATAATTCTGCATTACACAGATAAGATCTTAAAAGATCGTTAGTGAAAAGTTACTTAGGAATACAAAGTGAAAGGGCATCTCTTAAAATAAAAGTGCAATCTGACATACTAAAAACAATAATAATGTGCACACTTCTGATCTCTTGCTTTTTCTAAAAGTATAAGTACAGAAGAATGATTAGAAATAATTTGAGACTTGAACAGTAAGGAAGGAGGCATGTAGGAGTAGAGATAATTAGATAGTGGTTTCTGATAGAATATGTACAATAATAGCCAAAGGTCTTCTGGGTGCTTCCCTTTCTCATACGTCGTATGCATTGCAATTAATACTTGATGAACGGAAGGAACAGGAAAGTTGAAGCAGGAGGGTAGATGGGAGAAGAAGAAAACAGTGGAATGTACAGGACATTGTGATACTAAAGACTTAATTAAATTTGTCTGTGAACTCCCAAAGCTGTATGTATTAAATGAATTTGAGGAAGACATCCCACCTTGCTTTTATGTTCCTTTTACAGTAGAGCATTTAACTACAAGACACAGGTGGGATGAGGAGTATATGCTTGCTTGCAGCAGAATGAATATTTTACATAACCATTGGTTATCCCAGTATCCATGGTAGTTTTCCTCTAGACTCAAATTCACATTTACATTGTATTGCCTTTTTTCTCTTTGGTCATTTGAAGCCATTACAAAGATATTTTTATCACTTCAGGTTATATCAAGAGAACTTGACAGCAATGGAACATGGTGATTTTCATAGTAGGACTTCAGTATTTTTATTTGGATTATAAGATAAAGTTCTGAAACCTAAGCAGGCCTTGTTATGAACACTCACAATGCTATGACCTATGGGTTTTAGGATTAAAACAGCAGGCAGAAGAATGGCACTCACATCTTGCTGGAACTCTTTCCCTGAGTGGGAAAAAGACTCGATGCACAGAAAATAAAGGGAGTGCTGTAACCAGTGATTGGTGAAAGACAGTTATCTATCTCTGAGCACTGTTTAGTGTATTTTAAGACTTCTTTGGTTAAATTTCATGACTTTGAGATTGCATAATAAAGTGTGATATAATTGTACCATTCTTGAGTGTTCTTTCTCAGTATGTCCTTACACCAATAACGTAAACTGAGGCTGAGGTAGGGGTGATTTCTAAATGCTGTGATACTTTATGTTACATTTCCTTATGAACTCACTCATAATAAAAATCTAACAACTTCCAAAGAGTCTTTATCATTAATGTCAGTCAGAAAAGCTAAGTGGCATAATAGATAATTTAATACGCTTTCCTGAATTCAGAAATTTAAAATCAAAAGAAATTTTACTGACAGGAAATGCTCACTTCAGTGAAAGAAAGAAAAATAACTTCATCACACAAGGGATGAATATTTAAGCAAACATCACAAAGCTGGAATTGAAACAAAACTGTGGCTTGCAGTGTTTCAGTTAAATCTTGACAGTGTGCTATTTCAGACTGTAGTAGTTTTTTGCATACCTTTTGTTTAGCCTTAATTTTTCTAGTTACTGGAGAAACAAGTCTCCTTTTTAATGCATAGATATTTTTACAGTTGTGTCATATTCTAAATATTTGAGAGAAAGTCCTGCAGGGATGGGTATTAGCAAATTCAACAGCAATTAAAGAATGGGACCATTAATATCACCAGTGTTTTTGGTGAGATCAGAATCTTTCCTGATTCAGACAATAGGAAACAACTGAGTGAAATAAATACCTTTCAACTGACCTTTCAGAGGCATGACGATTCCACAGTCTCTCTGTGCAGCTTGTTGCTCAGTCACCCTCAAAGTAAGGAAGTTTTTCCTCATGTTCGTATGGAACTTTCTGTGTTCCAGTTTGTACCTCTTGCCCCTTGTTCTGTTGCTGGGCACCTCTGAGAAGATCTCAGGTCCATCCTCTTGACACCTGTCCTTTAGGTATCAGTAAGCATTGATAAGATTCCAGTTTTAGTTTTCTCTAAGCTGGGGGTCTTAGACTTTCCTCATAGGAGATGTTCCAGGGCTCTCATCAGTTTTGTGGCTCTCTGCTGGACTCTTGCCAGTAGTTTCTTGTCTTTCTTGAGCTGGGGAGTCCAGATGCACTACTCCAGCTTGTGATCTCAGGAAGGCAGAGTAGAGAGAGAGGAGTAGCTCCCTTGACTTACTGGCCGTGCTCTTTTTAGTGCACCCCAAAATACCATTGGCCTTCATTAGCACAGTGGTGGTTTGTGGTTAACCTGTTGTCCTCCAGAACACCTAGATCCTTCCCTGCAGAGCTCCTCTCTTGCAGGTTAGCAATTAAATTGTACTGATATGTGTGGTTATTCTTCCTCATGTGTAGGACCCTTCACCTGCTCTATGTATATGCCTTTTTCAGCGTGTCAGATTAATCATTTATTTTGGAAAGTTTGCAAGTCTTTACAGTGTTTAAAGTGCAAGTTTTGCTTTAAAATAAATCCTTATGCTGTTTGTGATGTTAAAAAAAAATCTGTTTATTTGTATTGGCAAGTATATTAAAAACAAATCACAGTCATCTGTGCCTGTTTAGTACTAGGTTTGGTTACTTTGTTTTTTAGATGAAGAGGTGTTTTTTCTTTGGGTTTTTTCTTTGGGTTATAACCCAAAAGAAATTCCAGTTCTTATTGGAATTCTTGTGAGAAAAACAGTTGAAATTACCTACTGAGCATATTATCAGCCAAACTGGTTAATATTAACTGAAATTCTGTTTCACAACTCTAAAAGTATGTTACACAATTTTCATTGTTTTATTCTCTTGCTTGTAAGGTTCTTACTACATTGTTTACTAACATATTAAATTCTCAGGGAATGAAAATAACTATAATAATACGGTTTGGGATTTGTTTTGTTTTTTAACTGAATTGGAATGAGGAAGAAAGAGTCTACAAATTATTTTTGCTTTGTTTCCGTTTTTAGTTTTAAAATCAGGTATATTTTCTTTCAGAAAACTGAGGCATGGGAGAGCGAGAAGACTGAGGAAGACATGGAAGAGTATATTTGGGAAAACAGCTCCTCTCAGAGAAATGCCCTGGCTACTCTACTTCAAATAAAAGCCACAGAGAATGTCAGTAATGTAACTAAGGAAGAGCTTCTTGCATCTGAAGTAGTTAGAAATTACAGAAACTCTGTAATTGCACTTAAAAATGAAGGTGAAACAGCAAGTAATATGTCTCAGTATAAGGAATCTGTGAAAAAGCTATTAAATATACAAGCATTACCATGAAAGATTCTGCAGGTACATTTAGTTATTACAGAAATACTAAATTATAATATGTTGATACTACTGTATGATATGGATTCAGAACTGAACAAAAACTATGAAACTTGTTGATGAGTTAGTCTTGAAAGTAGTTAGTTTTCTTTTTCTTTTTTTTTTTTTTTTTTTTTTAGATTTTCTTGTAAACATAACTTTGCTGTCCAGGAATCTTGTTCTTAAATAAAGTATGCCTTGAGTCATATATTGGTGACTTGAACATTCTGTTCTGTACTTTCTTAGCCTGCGAAATCCTGTCTTAGTTCTGTGTTTAATCACATTCTGACTTTTCACTTCTTCTGATGTATTATTTTTGAAGTTTCAAGTTATAGATGACTTGAGTTCCAAGTTCCATTAACTTTGAGGTTCTTAATTAAGAGATCCAAAGTTTTTCAATGCTTTCCAAGCATCTCAAATTTTTTCTACCTCAACTTCCTTTCTGGAAAGTAAAGATTGTGTTACCTAAGTTTAACTGTAGGAGAGACGTTGAAGTGCACTGATGTGAGGTTCTCGGTTGTCATCACAAGGGCTAACATACTCTAAATTAAAATACAATAATGGAACAAAATGTGGCAAGAGATCTAAGAACCACCTTTATTGTAGGTGCTTACAACCTTTTGTACCCATGCAACAACTTGGTTACATCTAGGAGACAGGCACCTTGTGTGTGTTTATGTCTGGCTCAAGTAGCTACTGAGCTTGTTCACTCATTAGCAAGGTAATGATTTTCATTGTCTCACAACAAAATAAGGTACAAAATGACGATTGCAAGATGAACTGACAGTTATTTACAGAATACAAAAGTACCTTGGGAAGAAAGAATGAGGGTTGCTGAAATTGAGGGCTGTAGCTTCCCACTTAATGCTGTGAAGCACAGAGGAAGTAGTCCATATGGACGTTTATCTTACATTTAATAATTTTTGGTTGAAAGGAATTGATTCGAAACTCTGAAATTACAAGAAACTTGCCTGCTCACAATTAAATGAGAATTCCTTAAAAGTACTAGTTTGAAAGGATAACTGTTACTGTACCTCCCTGGCTTACTAAGATTTGAGCTTAGAGAGAAAGCCTTTTTCTGGAAGGAGTAGAGGAGCCTTTGTTCATCAGACTTACAGATTTAGGGTGACTTGCAGAAAAAAACTTTATAACCACAAAGTAGTTATAAAGCAGATATATATTTTTATTACAGCTCTGCGTGCACACGCTGGGTACAGAGGGGGTAGTCCCTCCTAATTTGCACACTGCAAAGTGACAGTTTGAGGATATTTATAGAGACAAGTTACACATACGCAAGAATAGGACAGGATATTACAATTGATTATAAGAAACTAGGCATAAAGTATTCTGATATTACAATTAGAATAGGAGAGGAAATTACAGTTGATTCTAAGAAGTTGTTATCATATTCTCCACCACAATTGCTGAGTTATTCTGACTTGCAGGTTGTAGCGGAATTCCTAAGTCACAGTCTGAACCAGTATGTGAGCATGAGTGCCTGGTGCAAGAGAGACAAGACTGCATTCCTCAGCTTGCCTACTCCTCGACATCCATGTTAGGGAGCCTACAAACAGGAGGGGAATCAACTCTCTGAAAGGGTTGATAACTGCAGGACTGGGGGGAAATGGTTTTAAGTTGAGGGAGGGGAGATTTAGGTTGGGTGTCGGGGAAATTCTTTACAGAGAGAGTGGTGAGGTGCTGGAACAGGCTGCCCAGAGAGGTTGTGGATGCCCCATCCCTGGAGGTGTTCAAGGCCAGATTGGATGGGGCTCTGGGCAGCCTGGTCTAGTATTAAATGAGGAGGTTGGTGTCCCTGCATGTGGCAGGGATGTTGGAGCTTCATGATCCTTGAGGTCCCTTCCAACCCTGGCCATTCTATGATTCTGTGACATCCCTCCCTGTAGCGTCTGTTTTGCCTTAGTTCACTCTATACCCCCTTGCATAGTTCATAATTAAGTAAATGCCATTCTGAAACAATTCTAAAGAAATACGTTCCGCATCAAGGGATCCTTCTTTTTATGTTTGTATTAATGTAAAGTTTTATCAGAAACTTGGAAAGTTTGGAATTTATCAGGTTGTTCCTTGATTCTAGGATAATGAGAATGCTGTTTAAAATTCTCATTTCAAGTATTATTTAGTGTTATTACTAACCTTTTTTTGAATGGCCATGAAACCAGAGTCACAGAGTGTGACAGCAGTTTCACTCATAGAGTTGTATGGTTGGTGGAGGAGCACTTGGCTTTATTCCAAAGGAGATTTAGTTCTGATCTGTGTGTAAAAGAATTGTTTCCTTAATTATTTTTGTCAGTGTTTACATAAAGACTTGTGTACAAGCAAGCATATGTTACTAACTTGTGTTTTCAGTGGCATGACTTGTACCAGATGCTCATGAATAACTCCCTTTAGATGTTTAGGAAATCTTAAAGCTTGCTTTTTGCCATAAAAAATGTCTTTATGTACTCAAGACATAGGTGCACCTAATAAAATCCTTTTTGTAACAGATAGCAATTAACTTTTTCCTTTGTTCATCATAGACTTGGAATGGATTTAAGTAGATGCCTGTGAAAGTTGTAGTTCAAATAAGTTTGATTTAATAATAGCAGTAGAAAGAACAGCAGAGCAAGAGAAGTTGATTTTTCATTTTATTACGTTAGCATTTCATTAACTTGGCAGCTAATTCATGAAAAACCTAAAAATAACCAGGCTTCCAGAGTTCTTTCTGAAGTATTTGAGCCAAGCTTTTATATGTTCTATAAATGCTTCAGGAAATACAGACAAGATAAAAGCTGACTTATCTCCTTAGTGCCAGGGCATTCAAGTGGTGGATTGTGACACCACCACATGAGTGGTGTTTGTTTTTTTTCCCATTCTGGCTATTTAATGGGAATTGCTTAGAACAATATTGGGACTAATTCACTATGTTCCATGAAAACATCCAACACTTACCATTAAATCAAAGATACCAATTTTCCAGTCATTTCTGGCTTACTGACTCTCTGGTTACAGAATGCTTGGCCAAATGGCTTTAAAAATCTACAAGATTGACCTCCAACTTGCTTTTCAATGTCTTTGTCACTTCCTCTCCTTGCTAAGAAACATATGAGCAAGAATAAGATCTTTATAATCCTGCAAGTGCTCAGTCTAACTGCTAAAAAGGAAATATCAAATTCAGCCGCATGTGTGGTTTTAGCTAATGATCTGTGTTACAGTGCAGAATTTGTGTAATGCAGCAGACTGGATCACAGGTAGACTGGATGATATTTTGAGCTCTCATCTCATGTATTTCTTGTTTCTTACTTCTCCCTCAATATTGTTTATGTGTTTAGGGGTGACAGTATTTTGCTATGATTTTGTAGAATACGTAGAACTCTGGGATCTTAACTCCAGTGTGAATCCTTCCGACTTTGATTTATAATTTAGAGCATGTTTTCATGAACTAAATTACACATCTTTATTTTCCTGTATAACACTTGCAGACCATCTCATTGGAAACTTTTATTGTAGTTTAAAAGCTGTGAAGAGTTAATAGATTTGCAGGTTATAATAGCAAATACATCCTTATCAGTGATCAGTATCATATAATATAAATGCATGACTTTAAGGTTTGTATCCCTCAATACATCTATGTGCATGTGAGTGGATGTTCACTTCTGGTACAGGGAAGTGCTCAGGGTTTATGTCACTTTTAAATGGCAATGAAGATAGTTAACAGTTATTTATTTAGTTTATATTAGTTAATATAAATGAGGAATCAGGGTAACCCCCCAGTACATACACTGGGAAGTAAGGAGGAGCAGAAAATGATATACAGTATCTGGAGACATTGTCTCTCTTTTTGGGCAATTATTTTACTGGTGATTACTGACCAAAAGGCTGGTTCCTGGCAGCCGTGACCTCAGGCAACTCTGTCCATCACCAGTTGAAACTTGAACAGGAAGGCTACTAGATGTAATTCTCTGCGGTCATTGCTTCTCTAACCTCCAAGTAGCAGATGTCTTATTTCAAATCCAAACACTTGCCTCCACAAACTGGAAAAGTAAGTTCCTTGCTGCAAGGGAAAAATAAGCTGCCTCCGATGGGAAAAAAAAAAAAAAAAACACAGAAGTTAAGTTCTTGGCCCTCTGAAAAAGTTCTGATGCATAGTTTCACTGGTGCTGTTGAGGAGCCTAACCTTTCTTTTATCTCCCATATAAACATTCCAAAGAAAAGTTGAAATCTAATGTTAGGTCAAACAGGAAAAGAACTTGCTTTGTCAGGATTCTGACTAATTCTTTGCATCTTAGAAACTGCTGTAAGCACTGGCATAAGATGTCTTTAGTAAACTGTGTTAGGAATTGTGAAGTGTTTGTTGTCACTATGTTTTTTTGGCGTTTAGTGTCTGCATTGAGTCATGCTTTTGCCATTTAAAAGCAACACCAAACATAATCTACTTCTTAGATTTGACAAAAAGGCTGTAAGAGAGACATGATTTGGTCTTTGGCAGAGAGGGTAGATGTTAGAACTGGTTGGGGTTTCACTCAAATGTGACTGACTGTCTGAAAAGTCAGTTATAGACAGTCTGCTGGACTTCTGATATTCCTGGCAGGAGAGTACACACTCTTGATTGTGTTTTTGTACATACTATTGCTACAATCAGAGCTAGGAAATAAAAGGACTATAAAAGGGACATGCTATCTGAACAAAGTATCTTTCTACCTAGTCCCTGGTACCTAAAATGTATACATTAACTTTCTTGTTACTCCACTAGTCTGTAATAAAGTAGTCCTGCTACAGCTGTGTTTTATACAAAGGCTGCTCTGAAAGTAATGCCTCCCATTTTACTATGTGGGCCCATAACTTCAGAGGTGGATGTTGGTGGTATGGTAGGAGAGGTTGAACGTTCCTGCCAATATTCCATTACATTTTGCTGCTGTGTGACAGATGGCAGCAGAGAGGGGCAGTCTGACAACATGGCATCTGACATGGAAGTGGATATGAAGCAAAGGTATTTAATTGAATTCCTCTACGTGGAAAAAATAGCACTCATTATCATTCATCAGTGTTTGCTGAACATATGGAGACCAAACAGTGGATCTCAGCACAGTGGGGTGGTGGGTGGTGCATTTCGGAAGTGGTGAGAGCGACATGAAAGACAAGCCACCGGACAAGCTTCTTATCCTGTGTCAGTCTCTCTTTTGTGACATGTAAATTAGTAAATATGTTCTATCAAAATTAGTAAATATGTTCTATCAAAAACTAAAATTTCTTATAAGCTTCAGCTCCTTAAACTGCAGTGATACTCAGTGTGCCCTAAAATATAATTTTAGAGTGGTCTTTTCCTCCGAAACCAAGCTGCTCAACTGTAGTTAGATATACATGGGATTTTTCTAACTTTATCACTATAATTATTAAGCTTTATATAAATCTTACTATTTTTAACATAATTTGCTACATAGACATATGACAATCAATTTTATTGTTGTTTGTTTCCTTTAATAATGTGAGTGTAAACTCATCTAGGATATAGATATTTCTTCTTATAGCTAGTGAATAAAGTGAGAAACTCTGAAATATCAACAAATATAAAAGAGAAAGAACAATCCTGATTACTGCTGAAAATGTTTGCTTTCCTAAGCAATCTTCCTGAGCAAGGTAAGTCAAGGAAACATCTTGTTGATGTAGTCATTTGATTCATGTTCAGGAGTAGCAGTTTTATGAAGAGTACACAAGATGAAGAAACAAAAAGTTTGTTTTTAATTATAATGCTAACTTCTAAAGGTTTAAAAATCTTTTTTATATCTCTGTGCAATGTACATTAAATATCCGTATTAAAAAAAGCAAATGATGTAAATGATAAATATGTGTGGGCACAATAAAGCAAGTCAAGGTGGACAGTACAAATTGACCATAACATAATTCACGAACAGTTTGTGGTTGCATTTGTGCTTCCCTTAGTAAGTAGGAGAGTGGATCTGTCAGTGCATCACACAGCAATTAAGTTTAAAAAAAAAAAGTCTAATGGTACCAGGAGATAGTGGTATTAGTCTAGGAGGGCTTCAAAAACATTTGAAGTTATTGTCAGAAGATTGAGGTGAAAGCAAAGCATAAATAATTGGATGATCAGATGTTTAAGTTAATGGAATTCAGTAGTTTTGGAGCCTTACGTTCTTAATGGGCATTTTTCTTTGAGGAAGTAAGCAGTGCTGGTTAAATAGTTTTATTCCAGTATTATGACTATATAGTTATATAACCAATGAAAATTATATAAAGGAATATTATATAATTTAATAATAATAAGATGCTATAATAATGAAATAAGCAAGAGAGTTAGGCACAGCGAGACAAAGAGAATAAATAGAAGGCTTACCCATGTTGTGAGCTCACTCAGGAAACTCCAGTGGAGTGGATCTTCCGAAGAGAGAGAGAGATCCTTCCCCACTGGTAGTCAGCTCTTAAATGGGTCTAGGAGAGGTGGAGCCAGGCTCCACCCCTTCCTGCAGCACAGGTGAATTGCTTTCACCTGTGCTCCCAGGGCTGACTCATTGCTTGCCTCAGGTGACTAATCAGAGGTTCAGGCCGTGACTCAGCAGATCCCAAACAATCTAGAATTTAACAGGAAAAATGAATACAGTTTTTATGAAAACAACTAGATCTGAGGCTATTAAATAATTCTACAATTAAATCTTTTATGACATTACAAAATTTAAATCAGTTTTACTAAGGCTGGTCAAAGTTAGGCAGAGGTCACGTAAGCTGCAGTGAATCTGCTCTCTTAAATTAGGGTAAGTGTATTGTTTTTGTTAGGCATTATTCTGAGTCAGATTTTGTACCAAAATATGCTCAAACAGACTTGGACATGTAGTGAGACCTGTGAGTGTGCAATTCTTATCCATAGAGACTGTGGAAATATATTTAATTGTTGAGAATGAAATTATAGCTGGATGATTCTGAAACTTACTCTTTGTTCTGTAAAAGAATTAGGCCAGGAAACATTATTCATTTAAAAAAGGCTGTTTGTTCCACAACAAGGGTAGTGACTGTATTTTACAAGCTACCTTGGACAGTAGTGTATTTTATTTGTCTAGACATTGTTCTTCCTCTCTGTATGGGTTGGTAGTGACCTTTCCTACTTCTGCAGCACCCTGCTCCAGGAGCCACAGTACAAAAGCAAAGGAAGATGAGATAAGAGCAGAGAACAACAGGAATCAGCCAGACACCCAGAGCTGCAGCTTCCCAAGCAGGAGCTTCATTATCAGAAGTATAATTCCTGCCACTGTAACCTTTGGTTTCATTTAAGTGTTGTTTGCTGCTGTTCAGACGAGGAGTGGGCATGCGGGATAACTCCTCTGCAGATTTAGGTATCAAAGTTGAGTATACAGTCCTTCTGTCTGAGCGAGTGAATAGTTTAGTACTTCCTGAAGTTGTGCTTGTCCTCTTAGCTAAATGGTTATCCAGCAGAGAAGTTGATTCCCTGGAATATGTGCTGCCTTTTGTTTTTACAACCGTCAGGCTTGTGCTGGAGGTGAAAGTGTTTCCTGTTATACTGTAGCTGATGGTAGAAGATGGAGCTTGGAGTAGAAGAGAACTTGACGTAACATTACCATGCTGGCATCTTTCCCATTCAGAGGTCTTTGTGCTGTTTTGCCTTTCATATTTATTCTGTGAGGTGTAAGTACTTGGCCCCTTGAATTTCAGTCTTTCAAAAATAAGAAGGTCTGGATCCATCCCTATTAAATCATAAACAATATTAGTTTATGTGATAAAAGCTCATCTGCATAGAAGAGAAGAAGAGAGTCCATTTGACCAGCAGCTGTAGGGTGATTGTGTTCCTGGGGGCTCATGCATCCAGGTATTAGCACTAGAGGAGATTGGGATCCAAGGGCAGATACTGGGTGTCTGAGCTGAGCTACTGGAGCTTTAAGACACTTCATATATGAATTAAATATATATTTATATATATACATTATACACATCATATATATGTGTATATGTGTATATACACATATATATTAAATATATATACACATATTTAACTGTATATTCTAACTACACATAAATATATATATTTTCACTAGCAGATCTCTATGTGGCTGCACAGCATGGAGGACAAGGCTTTTGGTGCTGCCTTTATCTGTCTGCTTTATGCATCTCACCGTGTTACCTACGTGGATAGCTGTGTATATATGTACACATGTGATATACTTGTATGCGTGGTTGATATGCGTGTGCCAAATGGGAACACATTTTTAGCCATGCTACTGTGTGAATCTAGGGGCACAGAGCAGCAACAGCCTCTCCTCTCTCTGTCAGATCTTATATGGTACTTTTCTTTAACAAGAGTATTCGTTAAATATTCAAAGAACAAATCTTGGCAGCAGGGTGCACCTTCAAGGTTCTTTCTCAAATGCTGAATGAAAGAAAGAGTGGGAAAGTATTCCAAGCAGTATGAACATTAAAGAAAAAAAAGTATTACACATTTTTATCATTGTGTGTTGCTACAAAAGGTCTTTTAGCAACTTACTATATATATATATACATATTGCTGTATTTTCAGTCTTTATGCACACAGTGTTTGATTACCTGTCGTGATGTTGTATAAAACAACGTTGATTCTAGCCTTTAGTATGCAACTTTCCAGTGCTGGGCAAGACACGTGCAAGCAATTCATATTTTCATTAGTAGCTCCATGGTAGAACACTGCTAGATTACAGGAAACTATAATACAAAAAGAACAAAACTGAATTTATCAGCACTGTAAGTGTTGTATATTCCCTGTTATTATGAGGGCTTCTCTGAAAGTAACGCCTCCTAATTTGTTGTCCCATAACATCAAAGGAGGATGTTAGTGAAGTGGCATTTGCTATGTGACTGATGGCAGCAGAGGGGCAGTCTGACAAAACGGTGTCTGACATGAAAGTGGGTATGAAACAAAGGTGTAGAATTGAATTCTTCCATGCAGAAAAAAAATGGCACACATTCATCACACCGTAACACACACTGCATGTTTATGGAGACCAAACAGTAGATGTTAGCTTGGTGAGGCAGTTGTGGTTTGTCTCGGTAGTGGTGACAGCAATGCAAAAGACTAGCCACATTCCAGACAGCCAGGCACAGCTGTCCTACCATGAAATGAGGAGTTTCTTGGCCAGCTGATCCATATCAATTGGCAGATTACAACCATGAAATCATGTATGGAACTAAATATTGGCTTCAGTGCATTGGAACTGGTGGTGGTAATGTTGGAGTATCTCAGTTTGCACCAAGTGTGTCCCACAAATGCTCACACAAGAAATAGAAAGAGTCTTAGCTGGACTGTCTTTCCATACCCACTGTACAGACCAGATTTGGCATGTTCTGAATTCCATCTGTTTGGGCTGATGGAAGATGGACTGCATGGGAAGCATGTCACACTGTCATAGCAGCTGTGAAACAGTGGGTCAACTCCACTAGCGCAGATTTTTACACAGGCTCTTGCTGGCAAAAATGCACAGCTAGTGGTGGTGACTGAGCTGAAAAATAGCGTTTTGTAGTTGAGCATTTGCTCTAGGAAATAGTGTTATTGTACTCTTTGTATCTGTTGTAATCTCTATGGAAATAAGTAAGAGGCATTACTTTCAGAGTGACCTACATGCATTATTTAGCGTTAAAAGAAACGTTAATACTGAGCAGTTGCACAATACATAAAATCTGTGATTCTCTCATTATCATGCAAACTTCTTAAGCACCCACTCGTATAAGTAGAACAACTTCAACTATATTCATATTTTATACCTAGAGAAGATGAAAAGGATAGCCAAATGAATTCTAAATTAATTCTCAGAATAAATAAAACCATATGCTGTAGCCTGCAGTCTTCTCTTATCTTTCCTTTATATCTTTATTGCAGTGATTGGACTATTTCTGAAAGTAAAGCTGTCAGTACAAGTTTGAGGTGTTTGCTCTTCTGCAATTGATACCTGTCTACTTGAAACTGGAGAGCAAACATTTCTTTCACTCAGACTACTAGACAACCATCAGACGTTCAGGCATATCCTGAACTACAGTATGTAACTGGCATCCTGCCTTGCTTTATCTTGTTTGGCTTTGGGCTATATATTTCTGTGAATATAACATTTAAAACAATTCATCATCTGTATTTGGAGACTGGCTTCTCTCTTACCACCTGAGGAAACCGTTAATGAGAACTAATTTTCAAAACTATGTAAATACACGAATACTAGTGGTTTCAGATAGCTGAAAGCATGAAAATGCAGATTTAGAAGTCAATTTAATTAAACGCTTTTGAAAATGTTGTATTTTGTGCTCATAGATATGCTTCAATACTCAAGGTAAATGTTATACTCAAAGTCAAAATATCAAGTCAAAAGTTGAATTTATTTTATATCACTATGCTTGGAGTAAGATCAGTGTTAATTTTTGTTTAGTCACATGAAGTTTTTTTTTAATAGCAGAAAATCATTCTAGTTGCAGGATAATGATGTCAAGACAATCATGGAAAAGCTTTACTTGACATGAATTGTTAAGAAACTATCTAGCTTTAAAATATTTTCCATTTACTTTGGTATTTATTATAAATATTGCCTTATATTTGTAAGTAATGATACCAACTTGTAATATTTATGCAGTGAAAAAGTAATGCAACTCTTTCCTCTTTCCACTGTATGTATAACTAAAAAACTAACCCAATCTTATCAACAAATGAGAAAAAGAAAGAACATGCTCTCTACCCACCCTTACTATCTTTTCTGTATTCACTGTGTTTTTTTTCAGTTAGTAATCTAAATACTGCATTGAATAAATACAGCTAGAAAATATTTTTCCATCATAATGAGCATATCAGATGTCAGAGATGAACACTGTTTTCAAAAGATGTATATCATGCGATTTAAAATTTGCAGTCAAAATGTACTCTGTCTGAAAAATACAAATTCAGAAGCTTTCTGGAATAAAAAGACATGCTGTAGAAGTGCTGTTACTGAATGTATATTGTACTATGTTTTTTAGCTACTTGCATTCAAATTTGTATTGCATAGCTGAAACAAAAATAGTAATATTTGCAAGAACAACTAGAATCCTAAGCTGTAATGAATAGCGAGTAAAGTCATCACTTGATATTGAACGTAAATCAAAGAGGTTAAACAACAGTTTTTCTTTCACCGAGACCATGTTCTATCTCTAACTAGGCGTCATCAGTTTCCAGTTATGAAAATAGCAGCTGAGCTTAGAGAAGGCTTTTACAAAAGTAGAATTGGTACAAAGAAATTATGGCTATTTAAAGCAATAGAAGAACAGTGCTTGTCAGAAACAGAATGATAATTTACAAGGACTACACAAACTCTTACTCAATTATGTACCAATTAGTTTACATTTTTCTTTAAAAGATTACAAGCATATTGTAGTGTTCAGAAAACATCTGTAGCCAGTACACCTTGATGTACTTCCTGAGAACTATAGACATTTAGACAAATAGACAAAAAAGAATATAAAAATATAGACATACAGACATAAATAAATAAACAAATAAATAAAAACAGTTCTAGTCGTCAGTAAATATTTTGTATAATTTTTAATATGAGTTCACAATAAAAATAACAGGCCTTCAAATATTTCTATGAAGTATCTATATAATAGTTGCTTTTCTGTGAAATCTTTTGCTGAAATGTTAAGCACTCTGGAAACACTAAAAATAGAATATTATGAAATCTTTTTTTTTTTTAATCAAAATTTTCTGATGTTTGCTCACAGTGATTTTTTTTTTTTTTTTCCAACAGAAAACTGTTCTTCTCTTTCCTTGTGTGTTGTAGCAACGTATAACTTTGCCTTGAAACCCACGTACTCAGTGTTCTGGATTTTGTTGAAGAATTGACATTTTGTACTATCTGTATGTTTTATGCTTGTTTTTCAGTAAGATACACGAACATTATGTAGGTTTGGTGATATACTGCAAGGATATAAATTCTTAGTTAAAAAAATAGAAGATAAATGAAAATACATGAATTTGTTCTAAGCTAAGAGTGAGATTTCAAATCCTTTCCTATCTTCAAATTTTGTTCAAGGTTCTATTGTTTTTAGAAACTCATATTTTTGGCACAACATAATTCTAAGAGTTTTTCATTGTAACGATTAGTATACACGCTTTATGAAAATATCATTAATATTAAAAAGAAAAAAGACCATATCTCTTCTGAAGAAATTGGCTTTTGAGGAAGTATTCTTTTTGGTATATGTGTTAGATTTTATTGCATAAAATTGAGTAAGAAAAGTAAGTCACAAACCTATTTTTGGGGTGAGAAAAAATAGTTCTTTGGTCAGGAAAAATACACAAAAAGCATGCTATAAGATATTTTGCATCACATTGTACAAGCTAACTATGCCATTGTTTGTTTTTAAATTATTTCAAAATGTATTTTTATTTTGTATGATTACCTTTCAGTAACTGTACTATTACTGAGAATCCAGCAAAGAAGACTGTCTTATCAACTGTCAATATTTCTTGAAGTCTTAATTAGGGCTTTTATTGGCAATATCTGTGGTAGACTACATCTGACTCTTTGAGACTGTATGGAAATCACAATCCAATTTAAAGCATATTTATGAAATGCCATCTGATATCTTTGTACTTCAGTTAATGTTATAACAAATCTGCACTTGACTGTGAAAAATTATAAAAACAAGGCTTCAATTACCATTACTTACCTTCATTACATACCTAGTCTCACGTTTTATGACCAAAAAGGTTATTGTCCAAAATGGAAAAAATGTTACTAAAATGTTTATAATTATTCTTCATTCACCTTATTTAAAACAGAAGTTGACTCCTCACAGGAACGCTGATGGCCATTAGGTTAGTTGACTTGGTGCCAGATTTTCAAGGACAAAACCTTTCACTGAATTTCAAGATTTTTTTTTTTTTTTTTTTTTTTTTTTAATAACCGGTAGCTCACTTTGATCTCCCATATCAAAAAACTTTTGAGTGTTTTGGGTTTTGCAGTCAAATTTAGGCACTACAGGCACCAAGTACACTCTTAAAATATACACCTACTGTGTACAAAAGGAGTGTGGGGCTTGGGTTTTAGAGAAGGAATGACATTTTCTCATTTTTATTCTGAGTTTCATTTTATTAGACTACGAAAAAAAGGATTGCTAGCTGAATAAGCACTGTCTCAGCTTTATTGCTCATACTAATTTTATAGTACGGCAGGACAAGAATCATAGAATCATAGAATGGCCTGGATTGAAAAGAACCATAATGATTATCTAGCTTCAGTCTCCCTGGTGTCGCCAACCACTAGACCGGGCTTCCCGGAGCTGCAACCAGCTAATAAATATTATGTATTTCATGGCACATTTTGCAAGTGTAGCTATAACCCTGGTACCTTAAACAAGCTAATTTAGACAATTAAACTGCTTGCTTCATTCTTCCAGACATTTTAATTGCTAATAGCACTCATTGCATTTTTAAGTTGCCACGGAGCACTTAATGAATTGCTGAAAAGCCAAGAGTACCAGCTTGTCAACAGCACACAGAATGAGATTCCCCTGCTTCCTGACTTCAGATTCTTCACAAGAAAGAAAAGAGGTGCCACCTAATTATCAAAATGACTCATAATGCAAGCAAAAGTAAAAATAAACAGAGGTATCCAGAGTATATTTCTACTGTAGAATATAGTAGGAATTGAAAGAAGACTCAAATATAACAGACTTGTGTGAAGATCCTCCTCCCACCCCTCACAGCCATTCTCACTAGCTTCTATAACATTCGTGCGCTGGGATCATAAAAGAGAAGATTAATTAGATGAAATATGGTGCACACAGAACAGGAGTGTGTTCTTTCCTCTCAAAGAAATGAGTACTCTTGTATCTCAGAGATGGCTAAATAGTGTGTTCCTTCCTTTCCACAAAGCATGTCCTCATATACCAAAGAAGAGCTCTATTGTAATCAGCGTCCATATACAGTGGAGTAGAATTTTTCTGTACTTCTGTTCTTGTTTTTATGTGTGCCACAGTCTTGATAATAAACACTCACCATTCCTCTGAAGGCAGCAGGTTCTGCTGCACTGCTGGGAAGAGACTTCTGCATAAATCTTCAGCACCTGGGCTCCTCTCTTCTGTGATTCCTGCAGGTCAATCAGAAGACCAGGAAAGCGTCGGATCCAGCAGTTCTTGTAAAACATGGTGGGTGTGCAGAGAGAATCTGACTCCACAGCCAATCCCAGAAGCAACAGCACCTCTGATATTGCCACCAGCAGAACCATCTCTTCTGTGTAATTGGCTTAGTGAGTGTGCTTTCTCCTTCATGGATGTGCTGAAGTTTGGACCAGCATTTTAAGAGACATTCTCTTGAGTCATAAGGATGCTACCAATTCTGCCAGGGAAAGAAGTCAAGACAAGTTTTTTTCCAAACAATTCTGATGTTTTTTGGCCAGCTGCTGAAGGGAAGCAGTCATTTTATGAGCTACACATGATTATAATAATAATAATTATTATTCTCTGCATTATTTGGAGAAAGTTTTTGAGAGACAACAGGCTTGAGCATGTGCTGCTTGTAGTCATCCGGAGATCTTGCTTCTGTAACCTCAAGTTTGTGTCATAAGTTCTTCTAAGACCAAACTATGCAGACAGCCTTAGTGTGTGAAGAATAATGGTAAGCACAGCATTAAGTTTCACCTCAGCTCTGAAAGTATGCAGCCCTGTCATTTGAGAGCAGGTGGGTCTGCCACTTAATTCATCCTCACTGCTACTCTCAATACAGAAAGAACAGCTCCATTTAGTTTCTTAATGCATTTTGAATAATCTGGTTCTTGCAAATTTAGTTTTTTTCTTGAGTAACAAACTGAAGCATCTAATACTGTCTGCCAGCTAGAGGTGAAAATTTGTTCTTGCCCACTCTGTTTTGGTTGTAAAAGTGGTACGATTTTATTTGCAAGGATCTAGCAATAGATAACTATGACTGGAGAAGGCTGCAACCTACAGAATCACAGAATTGCAGGGGTTGGAAGATCAAGTCCAACACTCCGCTAAAGGAGGCTTCCTATAGTAGGTCACAAAGTAGATGCCCAGACAGGTCCTGAATATCTCCAAAGAAGGAGACTCCACAATCTCTCTGGGTGGCCTGTTCCTGTGCTCTGTCACCCTCACTGTAAATAAGTTCTTCTATATATTTGTGTGGAACTTTCTGTGTTCCAGCTTTTGGGCGCTGCTTCTTATCCTATTACTATACACCAGTGAAAAGAGTCTGGACTTGTGCAATTGACTCCTGCACATTAGATATTTATAAGCATTGATCATATTCCTTCTCAGTCTTCTTTGTTGAATGGACCCAGGTTTCTCAGCGTTTCCTCAAATGGGAGATGCTCCAAGCCCCTTATCATCTTTGCCACCATCCACTGGACTCTTTCTAGGAGATACCTGTATTTTTGGAACTGGAGAGCCCAAAACCTGACATAGTATTCCAGATCTGGCCTCATCGTGGCAGAGTAGAGGGGGAGGATCACCTCCTTCGACCTGCTCAACTTACTCTTTTTAATGCAACCCAGAATAAAATTGGCCTTCTTGGCTACAAGGCCATGATTGACTTATGGATAATCTGTTATCCACCAGGTCCTCCTCTGCAGAGCTCCTCACGAGCAGGCAATTCATTAACCTGTAGTTATTTCTCCTCAGGTGCAGGACTCTACTCTTGCTTTTGTTGAACCTCATGAGGTTCCTCTCCACCCAAGTCTTCAATCTGTCCAGGTCCTGCTGAATGCCAGCACAGCCTTCTGGAATGTCAGCCACTCCTCCCAGCTTCATATAACTGGCAAACTGAGGTGTGGCTCTATCCCATCATCCTGATCACTGACAAACAAAACTGGACACAGCACTGACCCCTAGGGAACACCACTAGTTATAGGACTCCAGCTAGACTCTATGCCACTAATCACAATTCTATGAACTCTTCCAGTCAGCTGATCCTCAACCTACCTCACTGTTCACTCATCTATCCTATAGTTTCTAAGCTTCATTACAAGGATACTGTGGGAGACAATGACAAATGCCTCGCTGAAGTCAAAGTACACTTTGTACTTTGTTGTACATCCACTGCTCCCTCCCCATCTAATCAGGCAGCCATGACATCATAGAAGGCTACCAGGTTGCTCAAGCATGATTTCCCCTTGTTGAATCCATACTCCTGAAAACCTTCTTCTCTTCCAATTGTTTGGGGATGGTATCCAGAGCAAGTTCCATCATCTTTCTAGGGACAGATGAGGCTACCTGGCCTGTAGTTTCCCAAATCATCCTCTAGATTTGTCTCCAGACTAGAGAAGTAACTGCAGTCCTGCCTTTAATCTTTCACACATTTAAGAATACTGAATGGTTTGCACTGTCAAAATAACATATAACATATAACATGTTTATAGTAACTAAAAATGCAGGTTAAAACTCCAGCTTACTGGAGTGTATTCTAGGAAATACTGACTTCTAAAAATATTTATTTATTGGCTGTTTATAGTAATCAGGTGGTTCAATCTTAATTGATAGGAGACTATATCAAAAACAGTTAAGCAGTTTTGTGATGGATGACTTCAAGAAGGTTTCATAATAGCAGGTAACTGATTAAGAGAAAACTGAGATGGGAATCTTACTAATGCTTATTGATATCGAATGGGCAGATGTCAAGAGGGTGGACCCAAGATCTTTTCAGAGGTGCCCAGCAACAGGACAAGGAGCAGCAGCACAAACTAGAACACAGGAAGTTCCATATGAACATGAGGAAAAACTTTCTTACTTTGAGGGTGACTGAGCACTGCAACAAGATGCCCAAAGTAGTTGTGGAGACTTCTTCCCTGAATATCTTCAAAGCCCACCTGGATGCTTTCCTGTGGAACCTGCTGTAGGGAACCTGCTTTAGCAGGGGAGTTGGAATAGGTGATCTCTAGGTAGAATCTTCCAGCTCTTACAATTCTGTGATTCAGTGTGATTCTGTAATTTTTCTGCTTACATTAAAGCTTGGAATAAGCCTGTGAGAGTGTAAGAAAGAAAGTATAGATGGCATATAGGAAGGCAACATTTCAAGCACCTGATCTGAAATCTGAAACTCTTGTGCACATTGTTTTTTAAAAGGATGCAATCTGATCTTTGGTTCCCACTGCTGTGTGCAACATAACATAACATGCAGAAAGGATTTAAAATGCTACGATACACATGTTCATATACACTCAATGGGCCAGGTAGAGATGCTGAGGGAATTAGGCAGAAATACAGTTGCCTACCATAAAGATCATGTTTGGAACAGACAACAGTGTTTTAGACAGGATTTTTTTTCTTCAAGATTAGGATTGTCCTGTGAGATGCATAGAGAGCGTCAAAGTCGTTTCAATTCTTTAGGTATTACTGCTAGCATTTGTTTTGCAAAACAGATCCCCCATTTTGGAAATGAGACAGCATGTACATAGTTTTATTCTTTATAGAGCTCCTTGAAAGGTAATGGAGTTCAGCACAGGTTAACTCCTGTAGACCCAATAGCAAGATCAAAGAATTTATTTCTTCAGCTAAAATACTGGCTATGATTATAATATATGTGTAGGTCACCCCAAAAGTAACACCATCTATTTATTTCTATGGAAACTATGACAAATACAGAAGCACAGTAACACTGTTTGGTTCAGCAAATTTTCAGCTACAGAACACTGTCTTCCAGTGTAGTCATTAACTGTGCATTTGCACCAGCAATGAACAAGAGCCAGCATACTGTGCTTGTAAAAATCTGCATCAGCAGAGGTGACCTGCTGTCACTGTCACTACTGCTGAAATGCACCACTAACCACCTCACTGTATTCACATCCACTGTTTGGTCTCCATAAACATTTAGCAAGCATCGACAAATACCAGTGGGTGCCATTTTTCCACATGGAGGAATTCCATTCCACACCTTTGTTTCATAGCCACTTCCATATCAGACATCATTTAGTCTGACTGCCACTTTGCTGCCATCTGTCGCATGGCAACAATGTGTAACTGAATATTGGTGGGAAGGTTTAGCCTCTACTGTCATACACCAACATCCACCTCCAATGTTCTGAACTAACACAGTAAAATAGAAGACATTACTTTCTGAGAAGCCTTCATATTATAATGTTTTCATACAGACTCTATATCTATTGTGAGAGCACTAATTAAATTGTTAAAAGGAGCCTAAGTAACTAATTATTTAGGCATCTGTCTTGAAAATGAGCTTTTGGCATTTCTGTTATTTTACTTGTTGTTGTGATTTATTTATTTGTAGTCTGTTGTGCATTATTTTTGTTTTTATCTCTGCCTGAACATCATTATTTAAAACCTTGAACATGTTTCACTATACTTTTTTGCATTCCGTGAAATGCAAAGAGGTGATTGTAAGCATCTGCCATTGTCACGAGCATCACTGACTGTATTTTTCTGAAATAAATTTTGGTTTAAGCTTTCCAAATATTCCAAAGCACCACCTGAAATGAGACACATGCTTCTGAAAGATAAGCTTGTACTGTGGCTTTACCTCCAGTATTTAGTATGAATTTTGTCTGTAAGACTGATATACAGAAATGTTTATTCTTGACTGCTTTCCTTGCTCCAACTCTTCTCCAAGAAGAGAAGAGTTTCTGAATAATATATTTCTGAATAATATGGGGAAATGTAGAACAAAGATTAAACTCATAGTAAACAAGCGTTTTTACTGGGTAAAGCTGAATATGTCTTTAGTTCGCTGAACTGAATTAGACTACTTGCATGACAAAAAAAATTGATATAATAGGTAGCTTTAACAGTAGTGGTACATATATTTGTGCTTATTAAAGATTATGATGACTCAGATCATCTGTATAAGTGTGATGCCTTGCAAATTGTGTATGTAGATCACAGATATACTTCTTCCTTTTAAGGAAAAGATAGTTAATTAAAGACTAGCTTTGTGCCCTATTTCAGTTAGAAGGACTTGAAATACCATACAATTTCTTCTGTTTCAATGATGCTGTCTCTAGATATTAGGATAAACTGTAACACTGGATGTGAAACATGCCTGAACATCTAATCATATTTCAGACTGTTCAATAAGTCTTTATCTGGCATCACATTTTGATTAAAGGAACAAATACTCAAATATCTGCTGTTGCCTTTGATGCAGTCACCAAATGCAGTTAAGTGAGAGTACTCCTTGTGTTTAACTATGTTGTTTTCAAGATTCAGATTTGGTAACCAGTCAAGTTCTATATAGATTTATGTGTCTGCTATATATTTTATATTTGTATTTAGTTTGCCACATGTTGCTAGTCTTTCTCAGTACCTTCCCATTTTTATTCTGTTCTGCTGCCTGCTTCAACCAAGCAGCTCATTTTCTACTTCATTACTCGTAATTCTTTCTCCTTTCTCTGTTTCTGACTAAATCATGAGAGCAGGAACAGCTGCACAAAAACACTTGTGTAAAGAAT